GGCAGGGTCTCTCTCTCTCTCTCTCTATCCCAGATTGGCAATAAACTCAAGATCTTCTTTACCTCAGCCTTAATACTTGTGCTTATTTTTCAATGGAATATATTAGAACCTCATACGACTTGAGAGAGGAGATACAACAGGAACAGATTCTAATTTTTAAAGCAGGCCTAATGTTGGATATAATTTTTTAGACTTACATTGTCCTTATACTTTTATTAAAAATGAGATTAAATAATGTTTTATTTCTTGCCCTCTATAAAATTCTGGCCATCCTGCAAACAAACACTGTTTCCAGATAAAACCCTTCATTTATATTCTTTGTTTGCCTCTTTCCAGGTTTTTATTCACAGTTTTCTTTATTTATTCTGAATGTTCAGAATATGCCATATCTCATCAGCCTGTCCAGTACTCCCATTATTTATTTTATTCTTTTTTTTTTTGCCAGTCATGGGGCTTGAACTCTGGGCTTTGGCACTGTCCTTCAGCTCTTCAGCTCAAGGCTAATGCCCTACCACTTGAGCCACAGTGCCACTTCTGGCTTTTTTTCTGCTTATGTGGTGCTGAGGAATCAAACCCAGGGCCTCATGCATGCAAGACAAGCAATCTACCACTGAGCAACCTTCCCAGCCCCCATTATTTATTTTCCCCACACACACACACAAACACACACACTTTCTTCACTGTCAAACATCCACAAAGCAGAAGGCTTCATTGTTTAAATTCTTAAGTCTTTCGTCTTTTCTGCTTTATTCCTTCTATTCTGATTTATGTGTCTACAACTCTACTGGAGGTTGCCAACAAAATCCTTGAATGACTCAAGTGTTTTGCCATGTTTCCTGCCCTTCTACATGAAAGTCTGTTCTCGCCGGGTGTTTGTGCCAAGATTTCCTCCCACAGAGGATTGCAGCATCTCTGCTCAGAATCCTCTCGCAAAATTTCATGTGTATATATGAATCAAACCCACTTTGCTGCTACCTTGAAGTTTCCTTCCCTCCTCACATCTCTTACAATGCCGTCAGCCCTGAACAGTCAGTCCTTCGATATATAAAGCTCAGATGGATGAGTTCAAATTTGAAGTCCTTTCTTTTCCCTATCCTCTCTACATCAACTCTTCTCTCATTTGTTTCTATTTTTATCATGTGTTTTCTCCAGATTTACCCTAGCCTTGCCTATGTTACCTCTAAATTATGAGATGTTTTTCCAATAGGCCCTAGATTGAAAATAGCTTCCCTTTTTTATTGTGAAAATAGCATACGGAGGGCTTACAATTACATGGGCAAGGTAATGAGTACATTTCTTATCAAGCATTGTTGCCTCCTCCTTTGTTTCCCCTTCCCATCCCTTCCCATCTCCCACTCTCGCTCACCCCACCTCCCTTAATTCCTGGCTTCCAGATCATTCATTCTAACCCACAATGCTGATTCTGCCATTATCCCCAAATATTGAGAAAGACTAGCTACTGACCCACTACCAAAGTCTATAGTCCTTACATCACCAATCAATGTGAAGCATAACTTGACTTCAGTATTTCCAGAGAGATTGACAATGATCCCTCTATATGTGACTCTATGAGTGCATTCTATCATTTTACTCATAGTGCTAAGCCTCTGAATAGCTTTCAGACTTCAACCATCAGCTTATTGTTCAAGGTCCACTGTTAATGGCTCCTTACCCATGAAGCATGTCCATGAGACATAATCTCTCAGTTTCATGGAACAGTGAAGATTTGTTATCAGCAAAAGTTAGACACTAGTCATGGCTCACTCCAGAGCCAAATTTACTCACAGCTAGAACTGTTAGTTAATATTTTTTATATCAGCTTTCTATTCAGTAAAGAAGGCAAACATTGCTTAGCTTACACAAATTGAGATAAAAATTCAAAATTAGGGTACTTTACTTAATGAATACTAATGAATACATTGTGTATTTCATAAACTAGGGTATTTTATCTAATGAATACTAATGAATATATTGTATATTTCATAAACTTATTTTGTCTCTAGTACATATGACTTAAAACTTGTTTGGTAATTTTCTTAGCCATACATATTTTAATGGTTTATGCTACTCATTATTAGTAAAATTACTAGAGTAACACAGAATAAATTTATTTTATTAAAAACATGATAGTAAGCTCAGTGTTGGTGGCTCACATCTATAATTCTAGCTACTCAGGAGGCTGATGTCTAAGGATTGTGGTTTGAAGCCAACTCAGGCAGTAAACTCCATGAAACTATTATCTCTAATAAAACTACCAAAAAAGCCAGAAATACAGACAGGCTTAAGCAAAAGAAGTTCAGGGACAGTGCTCAATCCCTGAGTTCAAACTCCAGCAACAGCACCGCACCAAAAACAAACTTGATAACCGACTAAGGGTATAGATTAGCTATATAATGACTATTATATACAGAATCTTTGAGTTTAATAGCCAACATCACACACACACACACACACACACACACACACATGCACACGCACACGCACGCGCACACACACCACACACACACACACACACACACACACACATACTAGGGAAATGAAAACAAATGGGAAAAACTGAGTAAGTTTGAAGGAAGGTGAAAGCATATTACAATAATTATTTAGCATTAATTTACATGTCAATTAATGTTTCAATAAATATAGTTTGCTAATAAATTATGATGGATATATTTTGTGATGCTTTACACTACCTAGGTTTTTTCCTTCTTATTTTAAAAGAACTGAATTGAATTGATAAATTATAACTTACTCGCTCAACTAAAGCAAATGAACACTCCTTTAAACCAGTAATTAACTCTCCATTCCAGAAAAGGACCAATGTCTTTTACCAAACTAAGAAAGCATAAGTCAGAAGTGGTGCTGTAGCTCAAGTGGTAGAGTGCTAGCCTTGAGCTGAAGAGCTGAGGGACAGCGCTAAGGCCCAGAGTTCAAGGCCCACGACCGACAAAAAAAAAAAAAAGAAAGCATAAGTCATCAATAGTGATCAAGTGACAAGTTGAAGACCCAGCATAAATCAAATTACAGTATTCACCTTCTCAATAGTGACAGTACTAAAGTGGTCTCTATTCTCTACTGCAAAATAATATCAAAACTATCCTTTAAAAAAATTTATGAGCCAGGTGTCTATGGCTCACACCTGTAATTCTAGCTACTCAAGAGGCTGAGATCTAAGGATCACAGTTCAAAGCCAGCCCAGACAGAAAAGTACCTGTGAGACTCTTATCTCCAATTAACCACTGGAAGTAGCACTGTGACTCAAATAGTAGAGCACTAGCCTTGAACATCAAGATGCTCAAGAACAGCACCCAGGCTCTGAGTTCAAGCCCCTCAATGGACAAAAATAAAGTCAATTTATGGGCTAGAGGCATGGGTCTTACGGTAAAGATTGCTTGCTCAGCAAGCATGAGGCCCTAAGTTCAATTCCTAATACTACCAATAGCTAATTTATTCTTGCTTTTGTAAGAGAGTAAAGCCATAAAATAATTTTAGGAAAGAATTCTCAAGTCATCTTTTTTTGGCTCTTTTCTTTTTCTTGCTAGTTCTGGGACTTGAACTCAGGCTCTTGGCTCTGTCCTTTCCCTCTTTTGCTCAAGGCTTGTACTCTACTACTTGAGCCATAAACTGTACTTCCAGCTTTGTTTGTGGAGGGAGATGAATAATTGAAAGAGATTCACAGATTTTTTCCTCTCAGGATGGCTTCAAATCAAGATCCTCAGATGTCAGCCTCCTGAGTACTGAGGATTACAAGTATGACCCACCAGTGCCAGGCTTTGACTTACCTTTTTTGTTCTCTCCATTAAGTATTTTTTATAATCTTTAAATAGTTGTAAAAAGGAATTTCCATTCACCAAAGCAGTTTATAACTCCAATGCATCTTGATAAATGTCTCCCTGCTCAACATTCTCCCCCTCCCAACATACCCCTTCCTTTGCTTATCTTAATTTAGGTTATATAGTGACTATTTTGCCTTTTAACAAAGCAGTTTATGTGCACAGTGTGTCTTGATCTATGTCACAACTTCAACATCTTCATCCTCCTTCTGCCCACCCCTGCCCTTCTGTTTTTCAGTTCTGTGGTCTATACAATGAATTCTTGCCTGCCCTCTCCACATTTCCATCTTCTTTCTTCTATTTTTCTCCCCCTTGGCCCAACTCCTACCCGCTTGCAAGTGCTTGTTTCCTGGTACTTATTTTGTTGGGCTTTGATTTCATCTTTTTAAAAATCATTATACTATGTATGCTCTCCATAGAGTATAATACACTTCAGCTAATTCATTTGCTACCCCTTGCTTACCACCCAGTGTGGTAAGATTTATAGGCACATTCTAGCTACCATAAATGAAAAAGAAACAGGCAACCTATGTTTCTCTGGGTTTGTATTACTTCGCTTAATATAATTCTTTTCCAGATCTTTCCATTGCCTTATGGATAGAATAATATTATTTCTGATGGATGTGTAGAAGTACGTTGTGTATATGTACCACATGTCTTTGTTCCATTCATCCATTCAGGGGTATCTGGGCTAATTCCCAATCTTGGCTGTGATAAATAATGCTGCAATGAGCATGGCTGTGCTGGTAGATTTTGTGTGGCCTTGTTTGTGCTCTATTAGATAAATTTTGCTGGATCACAGGGTGGCTTTGTTTAGTTTTTTTGAGGAACCTCCATAGTGCTTTCCAGAGTGGTTGAACAAACTTACATTCCCATTAACAGAGTAATAGAGCTCTCTTTTATAAATGAGGCCAAGGTTTCAAGGAAGCTAGATATTTAATGACACACATGTAAAGACAGAGCCTTTGACTTTGTAAATCTTTATACATGTTTGGCTGCTAATAGAAATATTCCCATTGCGCTTTTCTTTCCTATAAAAACCTTTCTGTTTCTTTTACTTTAAAATATATTGTTCTTTTCAGTATTTTCACAATAAAAAAATCTTCACTAAAAAAATATTGTTCCTTGGAAGTAATCAGTTACAATGCATTAAAAAAAATCAAATATTACCGTATTGTCTCCAGTCCACAGCAGGAGGTAAATGTCGCCACAGAATAAGGTTGTTTACATGATTTAAGTAGGAAGGTAAGGAGTGGAAACCCTTCTGATTATACCACACCTACAAAAGAAAGACAATTTAATGGATCTCATAAAAGTAGTGCCTAAGTCTATTCTAGGGCTTGAATGCATGTGTCAATTAACTTCAACTACACCGGGCTGTGGGACCCACAACAAAGTTTCTTCATGCTGGCCAGTGAGCAGTCAACTCCAGTCTGCTGATTTTATATTTGTCTCAAGCATATAATTTACAGCTAAAAATAGATGAATTTTCCCCCCAGAACAAATGTGAATGTTGTTTTATAATTATAGTCTTAGGGGAAAAGAGAACCAAAGCCCATTTATTTTTTTTCTTTCTCTGTTGGTAAGCTAATGAAATTTGACCTGCAAATTAAAATTGTGGAAGATGATCAGAAAAAATGATTACTTTCAAATTAATGACTGAATGTGGAACATTATTTCTCAAAATAAATTGAGTTGAACATTTGCTGAACATAGAGAAAAAAGTTGTGTGCCTATTGGATTAAAAAAAAAAGCGGAGAAAAACCAAAAAAATGTAATTGACTTCAGATAAAAAGTATCATAGAATACCCATCAAACCATCACTATCTATATTTCAAAATCCGTGTTTTAATGAAAAAAACATTCACAATCTAGAAAGCTGGTAAGAAATATAATATAATAAGCTGGTAAGAAATATAATAAGTCAACTGGTGCTTTTGAGTCTTCTATCATTTGACTGGGGAGCTCATTTCTTTAGACAATGCTGACTTTTGCAACCTGAAGAATTATAGTTTTCCCACAAAAAGTTTACCCCCAGAGAAACCTGTTGGAATTTTTATGGACATTTATGCAAAATGACAGCCAGACTTAAGAGTAAACTGAGTTCCAACCCATTATACATTAAGCAGTTGTTTTGAAACCAACATGTGTGTGTGTGTCTGGTACCTGTAGCGTTCATGAAAACAGCTAAGTAATCAAGTGGAGCTACAAAGCTATACAACAGAGTATTCCCCAGTTCTTTTTCAGCCCACTTCATGAAATGCTTTAGAAAACAGAACGCATGCCCATTTCTTTCAACATCCTAGACAACCTTTTTGAAATACTCATTTACATTCATAGAATAAACCTTGCTATCAATTCTTAAGCTCCAAGAAGAAATGCAGTTTGAGACATACTAATCACGGAATACCGAATGTTCTATGTCTAAGGCTATACCTAAACAGAGTCACATAGTGGGGCCCAATCCTTCCCTGACAAACTATGTAATGTACCTTAAGCCCACAATTCTGAAAAGCAGATCAAAGCATGAGTTCTTTGATGGAAAAATCAGCACTAAATTGGAGCAGATAAAATCACATTTTGGAAGGATATCCTCCTTTTTCACTCAGCTTAGAACTTTCTGTGCAGCTCTGTATTCACACACACACACACACACACACACACACACACACACACACATCTGCATAACTCTCAAATCACCTTTTGTTGCAACCTCATATATCCAGAAGTGAGGGAAACTTAGAATTCTGTTAAAGTCAAGGAAGACTACTATAGGAAAAATCCTGGGGCTGGGAAGGTGGCTCAGTGGTAGAGCGCTTGCCTTGCACGCATGAGGCCCTGGGTTTGATTCCTCAGCTCCACATAAGCAGAAAAAGCCGAAGTGGCGCTGTGGCTCAAGTGGTAGAGTGCTAGCCTTGAGCTGAAGAGGACAGTGCCCAGGCCCAGAGTTCAAGCCCCACGACTGACAAAAAGAAAAAAAAAAAGCCCAGTCATTGAATGTGGATACTGGAAGCTCCCATTAATCCTTGTCTGTAACCTTCCTTCCTATTATGTCTTGATTAGCTTAACTCAAAAGAAAAAATAGATGGGATAATAGTCTTCCCCCTGGATTAGGAGCTTTCACATTTTGATTTGGTTTATTGACTTATTTTAAAATCAGGTGATTTTTTTTCATCTTAAAAAGGCCATGAAGCAATGGTATAGAAATCAAGGAAAGGTTCTTTGAAAGAGTGGACCCTGGAAGTCAGAAGACCCTGCAAAGACTCCCTGGCTCCCGTCCCTAAACTCTGAGGCTTCTTGATCACTTAATGACCCCCATTTTTCACAATTCCTAAACCTATGCCCTTTGCCAAGTGACTTGCTTAGCCAGCCATTTTAACTATGAACCCAACAGCATGTCTTGCATTGGCCTATAGACTGTTATACTAAGATGGGAAAGATTATATCTATTCCTGACATCATTCCTGGACTCCAACACAGCCAAAGGGGAATAGCTTAGCTGACCTGATGACACAGGGGGAAAGCCAAGACCTTCTACACATTCACACATTACAGCCAATTCTTATAATCGTATGCGCCCTTGGTATTCATCTTAAACATGAGTTAGGCCTTTTAGTACCAGACAGAAGCAGGGCATCATCACCTAGGATAACTTCCAATTCTCCACCTCCTACTAGTTCTTCAACATGGTAGAAGACTATGTTGACCATATCCCAGTGGAACAAGTCAATCAGCTATAGCCTATTTGATAGATCCTGGGCACTCATCCCTATCCCCTGCAGACTGTGCAGACATACCTGGGTGGTCACCTCTCAGTTACACAGTGTCCTGAAACTTGTACCTGCTTTTGTAAGAAGTGATTTATAACCACTTTGATAAAAATTAGTGACTATTTGCTTGGATCTTCAAATTAATAAAAAGCAAGAGAAAAGCTCTCAGTGTCTGCTTTGTTCAACACCATTTTCTTCTTTGCAATTACTGCAGAATACAGGAGGAATATGATTGATAAATTCCATCTACTGAAACCACCCCTTAGGAACAATAGAGTCCTCTAGAAAGCAGTATGGAAATTCCGCAAAAAATTAAATATAAAAATATTCTATGATCCAGCAGTTCCACTCCTGGGCTTCTACCCAAACGATTACAAACCAGGCTACAGTAAAGCCATCAGAAAAACCATTTTTATTCCAGCACTACTCAGCATAGCTAAGTATGGAATCAGCCCAGATACCCCCTCAATGGATATAGGGATCCAGAAAATGCAGTATACATACACAATGGAATTTTACTCATCCATTAGAATGTATCATATGTAAAGAAGTAGAAAGACCCTGGAAGAAATGATGTTAAGTGAAGTAAGTCTGGCCCAGAGAGACAAAAGATCTATGTTTTCTTCTATTTGTGGAAGCTAGATTTAGCTTACAAACTTATAAGTAAATACATTGGCTGGTATGCAAGTGTATAAATACATATTTACTGAAATAAGCTACATTCAAGGGAGATTCCAAATAGTATATTCCTTAGAAACTCAAAATCAAAGTTTAGCAAAGCAAAACACCAGGAAGTTAATGTTCAAAAGGGGTATGGTGTTGTCAAGGGGATATGAATAGATGAATGAAGAGGAGAAGTGGGGGGAAATGCAGTCAAGAATCCAATGTCTATCCTACAAAATTAAGAGTGAGGGAAGGGGTGGGATGGGTGAAAACGTTGAAAGAGGTGATCTTGATCAAGATATACTGTATTCATAAACTCCTTTGTTAAATGGCAGCTCCTTTATACAACTACCTAAAGATAATAATAAAAATGAAATAAAATTTAAAAATTAACTAATTAATTAATTAATTAAAACAATTGTGTCTCCTCCAGCAAACCAATGATGATAATGTTTAAAAAAAAACTTCTCTGGAATACCCCCAAAAGAGGACCAAAATAATGAACAAGCAATAATTACACATAATTTCCTTTCTTTGACCCATTTCTGTGTCTAGTTATACCTATATCTCATGTCTGTACCCTAATGATCAGAGGAAAGGCTAACAACCTTTTCACACATCTGCCCGTGCTATATGACAAATTTCTATCTCTGTCTTTCACCATTGGTTGTTCCTTTCTTGGGGTAGGAGGAATGACAGGTCTGACATATTAAAACCCTGGAGTTTAGACCTGGGATATAATACCTCTGATTTCATTTGCTTTAAACCCACCAATTAAAACTCCCCACAGGAACCCTATTTTGATAATAAGCAACCAATAAAGATCTGTAAGTAAGAAAATTTTTATTTGCATTCTGGGTCTTCCCTGATCATTGAAAGTATACGCTCCAGTGCTAAGATCCTAAATTAAAACACTCACCATTATTCTAACTAAAGCCAAAATCCAGTCAAATTAGCACAGTAGACCCATATTATCTGTGGGAATATTTCCAAGGAAATTACCATTGAGAAAAACTATGAATGCTCAGGATGCATAAAGTTCATTATTATCCTGCTTGATTCATTTCTCCTATAAAGCCATACAAGTTTGGCTAAAGACATGCTACCTTTCAACAAATCTAACATTGTCCACTTATCACTTAAGCTTATTGACTTTTACTTTGCTTTGGGGGCACCATATATTTGAGGGAAGCATATTTTCACAAAATTAAGGGCAGAAAAGCTAGCAGATCACACAATGGATTAAGAAAAATGACAATTACATGGGACTAACTGGCATACATCCTCCACTGAGCTGCATAAAGCATGCACAAGAATTTTACATGTTATGCTTTTAAGAATTTTTTTATCTTTATTTCTTTTTTACTTACTTATTGAATTTTGACTGCATTTAGTCAAAACCACATATAACTCCAGGAACAAGGCAGGCTTGCTGTTTCTGCTCATTCCTGACCATGATCAGCCCAGCCTGGCCCTACAGTAGTAGCAGAAGCTCTCAGACTCATTGAGATCTCTGAGACTGGTAGTTCTTGTTGAATAGATACATTGAAGTAGTAAGTAACTGACCCAATAACTTACACTTGGAGAAGCTATTAGGGTAGCAACACCTGAAAATAGATGGCATTTGTTTTAAGAACAGCCAGTAGGTAACACAAAAATACTTAAGAGAAGTTTGGAAATAGATGTGAAATCCTGCAGGTATGTTGGGAAAAGAAACATGAAAACTGCTAAAGATAATGATGGAATGCTGGTCCATCTTTCACACAGTCAAAGACTTGATCGAAGTGTCATCTGAACTACCCTTGAAAACAGAAATTAGAAATTATGCCCAGTAAACCTGGGTTACAGACATGTTGAAAGACAGAGCTTCAGAATAAACATGAAAGGTGAGGCTGTGAAAACTTTGTTAAGATCCCCAGAAAGAATGATGGAGAGAGACAAAAGGGTCTGGAATGTAATTGGCATTGCTCACTGTACTTGACCTTTTCCTAGTCCCAATAATTAATTTTAGAGAGTAGCTTGACTCAACAAAGGCCATTAAGTGGTTTGTGGGCCTTAACTACATGAATAGACAGACAGCCCAGAATCCTCTGCAGACAGGTTCATCAAGGAAATCCCATCAAATAAGCAGAATGTACAAAGAATGGGCTCCCACGCCCAGCTTTCAACAGGCCACAGAGAAGCTGCACAATGGTATGCAACCATGGAGGGTGATGGGAAGGAAGTTTTTGGCAACAACTGGCAATGACAATCTGTGAAACATTCTCAGGCCCAGCCAAGGAACATTCCCACAAGCAGGTATCATTGTGAAGCACAGCCCACAGCAGCATAGCCCAACACTCATGGACTAACTGCATATGTAGCATTGATGCTACTGACATATGTGGCTGACGATATAATCATTTTGGTAATACAGAATGGTGTCACTGAGCTAAGTGCATCTGACCATATAAAATAATATTTATCTAAATGAACTCCAGGAAATAGAAACAAAGAGTTTTTTTTTCCTTTGTTGCTGTTTTTGTTTTCATTTCCTTTTGTCTTGTTTGTTTATATGTCTTAGGAAGGTAAGGGGGCACAGATATAGTGGGACAAAGGTAAACAAGTGCAACAGTGGTACTCATTAGACTTTATGTTAAAAATGAGCTATACAACTTGTGAATGGGGACAGGAGGGAAAAACTAGAAGAGAATGAGGGAAGGGGTTACGTTGTTCAAAAAGAAATGTACTCTTTATCTGACTTATGTAACCATACTCCCTCTGTACATCACTGTTAAAATAACAATAAATAAATTTAAAAAAAGAAAATATGGCATATACACACAATGATATTTTACTTATCCATTAGAAAGAATAATATGGCATCATTTGCAAATCAATGAAAGAACCTTAAAAAATATGTGAAGTTAGTTAGGCCAGAGGGACAAGGCTAATGTGTTTTCTTTCATATGTAGAAACTAGAATTAGTTTATAAATATATAATTAAATACTTTAGGTGGTATTCAGTGTGCACAAATGTGTTAACTGACATATGGTAGATTCTGGGAGAACTCAACATAATTCCTTCGAAAAGGTAAATCAAAAGTCAGTAAGATAATTATCAGGAAATGGGTATTTGAGAGGGTTGGGAAAGGGTCAAGGGGGTAGACAAATGAAGAGAAAGGAGGAGGGACAATGTGGTAAAAAAAAAATTAATGCAAATCCTACAAAATTAAGAAAAGTTAGAAAACAGGTGGTTTGACCAGCGGGGTGCTGGTGGCTCATGCCTGTAATCCTAGCTACTCAGGAGGCTGAGATCTGAGGATCATGGTTCAAAGCCAGCCCGGGCAGGAAAGACCGTGAGAGCCCAATAAACCACCAGAAAACCGGAAGTGGCGCTGTAGCTCAAGTGGTAGAGCGCTCGCCTTGAGCTGAAGAGCTCAGGGACAGCGCCCAGGCCCAGAGTTCAAGCCCCCGACAGACAGAAAAAAAAAAAAAAAAAAAAGAAAACAGGTGGTTTGGGAGGGGTGAGTGAGAGTATTGAAAGGAATACCATTGACGAAGATGCAATGTATCCATAAAGAGCTTTGCTGATTGGCAAGTCCTTTGTAGAACTACTGAAAGATAATAAAACAGGTTTTAAAAGAGGAACTAAGTAGCAGTAATAAAAGACAGTCACTTAGGAGAGCCTCACAGAATAGAATAATAGAATATTACTTAATAGAATATTACAAAAGAAGAGAGGCAATATATCTGGCCTTCTTATTGGACATGTGTATGCTTTAAAGGGAATGTTGATTAAATAAATATAAGCTAAACATTCAAGGTATACGAATGAAACGACAGAAAAGTTCCTTGAGAGACATTTAATAATATAATGAGCATGCATTATGCATATTTGTATGCAAATATCTTATTTTTCCTAGACCATATCTACGAAAATCTTGCCTTCTGTTCTGAATGTAGCCTAAAGTTTGGAGGCAAGTCTGGTCATTACTGTTTGTGAAAGGTCAGTGCATTTATTTGATAGGACATCAGCCACCAATAGCCTTCAGTGGGAGGCATACATTACAGACAGATGACACACACCTCAATATGGTATCCTGTCAGACTCCTGGGCTTCCTGGAGAGAATGACTCCCCCAAAGGACCAGTTATACAACTCACTTTTGCATGTTGCAAAGAACATGTCAAGTAACATAAAAATTCCAGAAATCATCAATTAAACATGTCCATGAAAAGAAAAATGTAAACAAAGACAGAAAACAAGAAGAGTCAGGTCAACACATGAACCCCTGACCATTTCATCACTGAAGAGGAAGTCTATGTCACAGACATCTAAAAGCAAGGAGACAACTGTCTACAATACATAGTCAGGGCGGGGGCTTGGATACATTTTTTTTAATGTCCAAATGTAAGAAATTGAGTCCTACAAAAGAAGTGTGTTTTAAGAGACTACATCATATGTTTCAATGTATGCCAATAAATGCTTTACAAGTCATTTTTCTATCAACAAATGAATGGTTTTTTTTATATTGAGCTATGAAATCTTCTCCTTTAAAGAAAGGAAAAGAAATTTGAACAAACCTCAATTGAAAAAAGGATTTCTGAAAATCCACACTAAGATTTAGCATTTTCTTCAGGGATTATATTGCAAAGTCTGACTGCTAAAATTATCTTCAGGGATTACATTGCTAAGATGTCCTTCAGGGATTTTATGGTGAACTTATTGTAAGAAATCTTCTGTTCCATTAAGAAGACCTCCACATGCCCTAGTCCCTATCCTAATTAGCTTTTCCAGGTTTGTGGGAACCATGAATGTCCCCATTACAGAATAGAGAGGGCAACTTCCTGGGATCATGCCTTCTTTGTTTCATTAGTTCTGTGATTAAGTTATGAATAGATAGCACAGCCCACTCTACAGAGACAAGGAACTTGTAGTCATTTAATGCTGACCTCCTGACATAAACTCACACTCACTTTTCCACATTTGATTTACCTTCTTCTCACAACCTATTCATTCCTTTTCTCTCTTGGTCACGCATCAGACTAGCTTCTAATCTTAGGGTTGAAAACTTTAATTCTTTCATCTTTTCCCATCTTAAGGTTAAGCTGACATTTTCCCCATAACTGACAAAAAAATAGATGTATTCTCATTTGCTTTAAGCCTATTAAGTGTAGTCTCATTTTTAACTAATAGTAATAATCTATTCATTTTGCTTCTAGATATCTAAAGGAAAATAATACATTTTTCTCTTTCAAAAGAAGGTTTAAATACAATCATTTATTTTTTTTTGGGGGGGGGTCTGGTTGTGGGGCCTGAACTCTGGGCCTGGGCGCTGTCCCTCAGCTCTTCAGCTCAAGGCTAGCGCTCTACCACTTGAGCCACAGTGCCACTTCCAGCTTTTTTCTTTTTGCTTATGTGGTGCTGAGGAATCGAACCCAGGGCCTTAGGCATGCAAGGCAAGTGCTCTACCACTGAGCCACCTTCCCAGCCCCACAATAATTTATTATTAATTCTCAGGAGCATGTACTGGGAGTTGATCTGCCCACCACAAAATATATTTCAAAAATGTATTTAAATTTTTGTTTTCCCTAAATATTTTCTAGAAGAAGAGTGGGAGGGGGGATAAAGAATAGTATCACCTTTGCCAGAGTTCTTGGTTTTAATGTATTTGTACTTGAGTCTTGAACTTCATTAAGGACCCCCACTCCAAAAGACCAACCTCCAAGCCTAGAAACAGGAAATGAGGTGTTAGTGCTCCAATTAAAGTACACCAGGACTTCTACTCAGCTCATTTCATTCCCAACCACACTAGTCATACAGATGGTACCCCACCGAGCATCTGTGGTCTGTGTCTTGTCATATGTATGACAAAAGCAGACTGGCTCTTGAGGTCAGTGTGCTAGAAAGGCACTGCTTATGGAGAAGAACTGGTAATACTAAGGACTGAACTTCTCCTAACTTACTATCATGATAAGAAATGCATAGAGTTTAAGAACATGGTTGAGACCATCAGTACTCTATTTAAATTCATGGTTATGTCCTCTACAAAACCATCAATCAGGAATCACTTGTCCATCATCATCTTGCAGGCCCCGCCCTCCCCCAGATGTGTCCACCCTCCTCTGCACCTTTCCTCTCCACTCACATCTTGCTTGGTTCAGGAAGGTATCAGAGAACTACAGTTGAGTGAGATGCTCCATTTCCTTTGAATTCTCCCAGTATACTATGTTCCCATCCATTGCATTAGTTACCACACTGGGTTTTAATCAACCTGTAGTTTATCTTTTATGCAGCTCTGTAAGATTTTCCTGGGTGGGATGATAACTTTTATCTCCATCTCTCCATAAGCTATATAGTATCTGGCACTAACCAAGCTTCAAAACATAGTTGATATTAGAAGCAATAGCAAATAATAATCTCTGTTTCCCATCTCTGGTATAAAGGAAGCTAACAAGCAGTTTCGTGTCATAACTCATGGCAAAAATGAAGGAAAGGGAATGGGGACATTTTTCCATCCAGCTCAACTGAATTCACTAATTCCTCTGACAGATGTGAATTGAATGTCCATGGTACCAAATAGAATTCTAAGTTCTGAGACTTCAAGTTCCTACCTTTGGGACACTAACCATTGAACTAACCATCAGGGTTAGGAAAGATATCAGATAGGACATTCTAGGAAATGGAGCAGCAGGCAGGCTCAGGCATAGCAACACTGAGACAAAAGCTGTCCATGGGGCTGAGAGCATGCTGACTTGGCATCATGGAAGAAGAGGCAGGTTCAGGGTGGTGAGGCGTTCCAGGCCATATAAACAACCTGTATATCTGAAACAGTGTAGTGTACTAGAGGAGGTGGGAAATCTGATGGGGTGGTGAATATTAGTGAGGCTCAAATGAGAACCAATCATTCCTGGCCACCTCATCTAGAATCACTTCTTGGCCTTAAAAAAAATAACACAAACAAAACTTTCCTAACATCATCTATAAGGAATTTTTCAAACCAGTTGCACCTGGTTCCTATACTTCAGAGTGCGTTGGAATTGTAAAAGCACTTGTATTTCTTTATGCTATTACCTCACCTGCTCATATTCCCTAAAGCAGTAAGCCCATTGCTGCTCCCTTGCCTCTACCATGGACAGAATCACAATTGATACAATTTCCTCCAACGTTTCAAAGACCAAAAGTCAGAAGCAAGGAATATGATTAGAACTTAGTGTAGGACTTTGGACTGTTTATGAACACTAAGGTGAGTGTTTAACTTTTAAGTTCTTGTGAACATTAGATTTCAAAACAAAATATGCTCATAACTTCCACATCTAGGGATTCAACCAATTATTGATGGAAAAATATGCAAAAAAATTACACGTTTTGAATACGTACAGACAAATGTGTCATGTCATTATTCCCTAAACAATATGTATAGCAACTATTCACATTGTCTTAGTTATTAGGAGTCACCTAAGGATACAGGAGAGTGCATGGATTCTATGCAAATGCTGTGTCAGTTTACAAATGAGACTTGAGCATCTGTAGATTTGGGTGATCTCCAGAGTACTGAAGCCATTGCAAAGGATACCAAGGGACAACTGTCATTCAAAGACAATAGGAAAGAACCAGAGAGAATTGTGCACATACCTGGGTTTCTCCGATGGCTGCAGCAAGTACTCCTCTACATCGAAGCCTGAGAGATTGAGCAGTGTGTGGCCCAGGCAGTTGGTCAGGTAAGGAGCACTTCGATTTGGACACTTCTGCAAGTGTTTTCAAAGAGATAAAATTGAAACTTTTTTATAACTCATAAACTAGGTTACCAACAATGCCTTAAACTAAATGTGATTTCTTCCCTCGCTTTCAATTTTTAATAAATTATCTCCCACTTCTTATGCATTCTGATTTCTAAAATCTTTTTTAAAAGTCTCCTACGTTGGAGAATTATGCCAGAATTCTACTGAGACCAGGGCTGTCAATTATATCTGAGAACTTCAAATCCTTTTCTGTCTGCAAGTTGGCACAGATTTGTAAGAACTCAAAAGGAAAATGTTTTCACTGTAATGATTGTGTGTTTGATGAAGCTGAAAGAGAGTCAGAGGGAACTAGTGGAGAGAAGATAAGCAGGAAAATTCAAAGGGGTGCATTTCTTTCATAAGTATCTGAAGTAGAACTCAAACATATCCTGCACAGGCACACTAGAGTGCTAGTACCCAGTCTGAATGAAGAAGCAACAACAAACAAAGGACAGAGATATTGGTCTCACAATGCTGGGGAATGCAGGGTGACCTAAAGTGTTTAGCCACAGGGTTCAGATTAACTGTGCATTGTTTCCATTTTGATGAGAGGAAGACAATATATGAAAATTCATTTCTAGCATTGGAAGCTTGTTTTCTCACTTGCACAATAAAAATAGAAATGGAAATGGAAATGGAAACCAGGCTTTTGAATGCATGGATTTTGTTGGGTTCAGATAAGCATGAAAGAACTAAGCCAAGTAATATATTATTATATGCATTTAACATGTGACTTTTTTGGATTGCTAAAAGGAACAAAGGGAAGGACACTAAAAGAATACCAATAGCTTTACATTACAGTCCATCCAAACTCTCACTCACGTGAAGACTCTAATTAACACTCAACTCAAAATAAATAGATAAATAACTTGACTCAAAGAGTAAAAGAACAGATTGGTGGTTGCTGCTAGAGGCCGGGTATCGGCCTATGTTTCCACTTCCTTCCTGTTCATCTCAGAACCAAGGCCAAGGAGCAAAATGCACTCCTTAAAGCTGTTATTTCCATCTCAACTCCTTCCTTCTTGGAGTTTTCTGATTTCTAATGTGTCAATCATCATCTCTTAACATGGGTAAAGACAAAAGCAATGATAGGAAGTGGAGAAGGCAGAAGGCGGGAGGATTACTTAATCTAATTTGCATACAGCTCTGCAGCCTCTTTACCTGTTGTCAGTTGAAGCACATATTACCAGATAACAGCTTTCTCAGCAGAACTAGAACAGGGTCACCTATTTAATTCTACTTCATGCAGCATTTCTGAAGTTTATTTTACTTACAGAACTTTTTCATGTGATTCTTGCATGCGTATTACTGACATGGTTCATGTGAATTACACCTATGTGAGAACTTAGACCATTTTTGCTATGAATTCATGTATCTCTATACAAGGTATCATAGTATATTTAAATCCAGAATTAAGAACAAGAACATGGAGTCAAACATCCAGCGTTTCACAAGTAGATGTAAGAAACAAGACTGAAAAAAGCAGCAAATAATTATGCACAAAATAACTTGAACAAAAGAGAGGTGGTCACTGCAAAGGAGCAGCAAATGTATCTGAATTTTCTGATCATGGAGGCCCAAAGGAAGCATGGAGAGTTCCAAGGACCTTCCAGGTGCACCAGCAAATGAAGTGTCCATTATGGGGGTGGGGTGGGGAAGCTGTGTTATGGCTCTCTCTTATCTTTCTACCTCTTTCTAGAAGAAAGCAGATCAAGTCAGCCAAAAATAAACTTTCCAAAGTCACTCAGCTACAGAGAAAGTACCAAGAGATCACTACATAAAGAGGCCAGTGAACATACTTTATACATGAGCATCTCTTTTATATCCTGATCTAAGAATTTTCATTTCCCTTCTGAAAGGTAAATTCGTTTTGCCACATTAGGCTGTTGATCATGGATAGCCCCTTTTATTAATTAGCTCTCAAGATTTTCTTTGGGAAGAATTCCCACCAGTTTTCCAAGTAAATTTCAATTTGTTCTCTTTCATAGATTAGGACATTGTGGCCTTCCCTTAGAGAGTGGTGTCCTGGTGTGAATCAACCACATTTGAAATATTTAGTGTTAGCTTAGTATTTAATATCTGGTTCTTAGAGCTCAAATAAAAAGTATGATGAGAGCCTCAAAGTCATTTTGTCTTGAAATTTAGAGAAATTTCTCCCCCAGTAGCAATTCTAGCCTCTCATTATTAGTGGAAGAAGATTTACTTGCTTAATGAATACTAGTGGGGATGTTGATGATCCAGACAGTAGGTAATGGCTAAGGGGTCACAGTGGGGTATATATAATGTTCACCTTAAGAATGAAACTTTCCCACAAACGGCCAATCAATGGATTCAAAAAGACAGAAACTCATAGACCAAAACATGAAGGCTCCACAGATAGAGTAAACTTATTTTTTCACTTGAGATTTATATTTTAAATGATCAAAAAATGCCGCAGAAACATACCGGGCAGCCACAGGAGTCCTGGAATGCAGGTCTAGAATAGGGATCTCTATGCCAGCGGGAAGAATTCTTTCTAAAGAACAAAGGAGAGAATTAGAATGATCCTTAGGATTACAAAGCTATTTTATTTCCCTAAAAGAAAGTTCCTTCACAGTAGAACCCTGTTCACAAGATAATCTCCTACTGCCACCAAGCCAGAGCTTTGACATTTGTTTTCTCAGTATGAGCTGCTAATGTGATGACAGCTTTTATTAAAATGCCAGAATTCCATTGTAGGACACGCTGCTCATTTGGCTTCCTGCACTGAATATATTACCAAGGCTTCCAGGACCTTCCTGGGGTCCTTTAAGCTTGTGAATCCTACAGCTCCTAGTTTTATAACCAGATACCAAGATGCAATTCATAAACACAAGGATCTGATGACTCCTTTCTCGTGGCAAGATATAGTCATTTAATCATCAGCTAAAGAAAAACAAGCATTACAGTTCCATTTGTGTGTAAACTCTAGATTATACAACAGAAAGTTATGACAACAGTAAGGAACAAGCAGATAGGGAAATCTTTTGTATTTCAAGTTCCCTATAGTTTTCTTAGCCTATGGCCCCATACTTCATTTGTAAGTCAAGCTGTAATTTAGTGATGATAATTGTTCTTAGCTACTCCAATTTTATTAGAGAAAGAAGGAAATTAACATGTAAGGGAGGAAGGAAATTAACAGGCCTGTGGGGTTTGGAGAGGTAAAGAGGCTGGCCAAGATGACCCATGGGTAAGGACAAGCCTGCCCCTCTCCTAGTTCAGGTTTTTTGTCTCACTTGCCACAGAAACTCAGTATAACAACATCAAGATGAAAAATAGTCCAATCCAATGAAAGAAAGCTTGCTATTTCTAGTCACTGGATTAGCAAAGAACATGTAATTCTGAAGCCCTCTCCAGCACTATTCATTTGATTCTCTTAGGGCAATTCACATTTGAGATTTGCTAGTTCACCTGCAAATGCAACACCTAGGAAAGTTATATATTTAATCAGGTGGTTGTAGCTGATATTACTTTTTTAAATTATTGACTTTATGTATACTTAAACCCAGCATTTCCCATTGATTCAGAGGCATCCAGATTCAGGTATTTTGTTGCAGAAATAGAAACATGATAATGCCACACATGTATATAATTTAGTGAATCATTTCAGAAAGTCAGTTATGTTTGTTCTCTAATTTTTGTATCCCCTAGCTTCCTTTGATACATGGTCATAATGACAGTATTTAACAGAGTTTATATTTTTTGCATCTCTTAAATGCCAATAATTTTTATGTTTGAAGATTCATATGCAGATATATGCAAATTAATAAAAGTAGGGTAAGTGCATGGGAGGATTCTAAATCACTCCTTTGAGCAACTAACCAAATGAATGCCATTGAATAGAACTTGTGCTCCATGAGGTCAAGGGGAGGTCCATAGATGGAAGAGCGAGGAAAAGTGTGGGTGGTAACAGTCATGAAGTACAAGTGTGAAAAATAGAGCCGGGCAACTTGAGGGGATTGGTGTTGAAGCGAATGAGAGGAGAAGGAGAGAGGGGTGACTTTGATCAAGACATATTGTACTCATAAACTGACAGATTATTGAAACCCCTTTATATAAACACATAAAGATACTTATATTAATTGAGGAAAGACAGATCCACTAGAAAGTTGTTTGAGCATGCATAAGAGACCAGCAGACTGGACAGCAGGTTGGCAATGATATGTTTCTCCCCAGATTTCCTTCCAGTTTAGGAATCTAAGCCCATTTTGACTGAGTAAAGCATTTATTTCATGTGTTTGTAGGACCTAGCTACAATGGTGTTGTAAACATGGTCACTTGCTCCCTAATGTTTGAAAGTGTGGGGCTATGTAAGTCTCTCTAATGCAGAGTTGCCTGAAATCTTTAAAAGAATACCATGATTTTCAGATCTGAAAGTGACAGCAGCAGTCGCAAAGGGCCACAGGTCTTGAGAATCAACTTCAGAAATATTAACTTGCCTAAAGGGGCTGAAAGCATTCCACAAGGGTCATCATTATGTTTGATGTTGCTTCATTAGAAGCCAACAGAGGAAGAGAGAGGTCCAATAAGCTGCCCAGATTCACATTGGTGAAGGTGAGATATAGATGGAGAAAACCTGGTCCTGGATGGAGATGTGTTCTCCACCCCTACATATGATGGCTTGGGTAGGTACACCATGCTTTTGACCTTTGACCTCCACTTTCTTCTTCACAGATCCAATCAGCAGTCACATCATCTTCAAGGAGCCAGCCTACAAACCATTCATTGGCTAAATGAGCCTTTTGATTGTCCTGAGCACAGGAATCTGTAGGCCACTGGCATAACACATCATATTGCTTCAGTCTAATTGTGGAAATGGTACTGTATTCTTGTTTATGAAAATAAACTTCACACAATTGTTATTTTTTTATTCCTAGTAACAGAACTTGAACCCAGTGCCCTGAGCTCTCTTGGTTTCTTGCTCACAGCTGGTGCTCTAGCACTTGAACCACATCTCCATCTGGATTTTTTGCTGGCTAATTGGAGATTAAATTCTTGTGAACTTCTCTGTCTAGGTAGGCTTAGAATGATGATCATCCATCTCTCAAATTCTGAATAGCTAGGATTATAGACACAAGCTACTGTCACTCAGGCGCAATCAACTTTTTAACTTGTTAGAAATATATAAAATATTCTAATAAGCATGCTGATGGCAATTAAAATGGAACAGGGATAGAGGGAAAGTGACTGCTTTGACTCAGGTGTCACCCAACATTAGCCGTGTAAAGTGGATCAAATTATGTCAGTCTACTAATCTGCTTCTACAAGTTGGCAAGATTTGCACATTTCAAAATTTAAATTTTGGCACATCTACTAACAGAGAAAGAAAACATTTGGGCTAGATTTATAGCAACCATCATCTGTGGAAAAAAAGAGGTCAGCATCACACAGTTCATTACAACAACTGCCAAATGGTGCATGAACCTTTGAGTTGAGCATCTCAATAAAAAAAAGCACTTCTCAGCCAGAGTCTAATCATGTATTTTGAAATGTTTTGTGTAACTGATAAGCAAGTGCTTACTAAAATCTGTCCAGAAAGTAAAAGTGTAGATATCATTGAATTCAACAATGCACTTACAGGAAAATACTGGCTGAAGAAAAACTTGTTACTTTGATGTTGTCCCTCTTGAATGAAGCTCTGTCTATGCAACATGGACCTAAATTCTTAATACAAGTATCCATGGGTATCTTCCCATGCAGCGTCCACATAGGCACAGGATGTTGGTAGGTGGATTGAGTAGGTATAAATATGTTAAGGAGCAACTATGAGGATTAGAAACAGGAAAGAGAAAAGAACATAAATCCAGAAGACAGAAGGAAGAGCCTAAGGGTATTGTACAGGCTGGGCTGAGGAGAAAGAAACAAGGCAGAAGGGTTTGAAGAGCCTCTGTTACTTGTGTAAAGTTAAAGGGAAGGGCAAACAGAATTTGGAGTATGATCTACCACCACTGAAACATTCATCCTACCTTGGTTCTTCTATCTTCTCTTGAGAGGTTAAAGCTCACTCTTCCTCTTCCTCCTATTCTCCTTCTCTCTCCCCTCTCCTCTCCTCATTTCTCTCTCTCCCTCCCTCTCTTTCTTTTTATCTCTCTCTCTTTGCTGTCCTTTCTTTGCAGCAATATGAGGCTAAATGTGGGCCTAGGGTTTACCTTTCTATCAGTCAGATGTAGATGCATATCAGAACCTACATGATGTTGCATCAGATAGAAGAGAAATAAGTCATCACACTGAAGCTTTAGTTAAGTAAAACTACTTTGTTTCCCAAGAGAAAACTGAACTGAAGTAAAATAATTAATTTTCTGTTAATTCTTTCACTCTGAAACCATTAATAGTTTATTTGTTGTCAAACTAATTATCAAGATGATTAATGGACAAACTTCATGTACAAGCTTTTTCTAAAGAGCTACTAAATTTAAGTTAATTGCTACTGCGTTCTATTTATGAAACAATTTGAATGCTCTTAATTATTTTCTAACTGTGATGTAAAATGTGACTGAAGAAAGAGAAAGGAGCAATTAGGTAGCTTACTTCAGGTAATAGAAAATTCATATAAATGATGACACTCATAACCTATTAATTAGGCTAACACTCAATTCAGGAAATGTACAGTTGAAATATAAAACAGCAGGGTTGGAGGGATAAGCCAACAGTGCTGGTTCTCTTGGCCTATAGTCTCTGTTATAGAAAACACCTGGTACTTACAGAGCTGCATCTAAATCACCACAGAGAGGATCACGATCTTCAAACTTCTGCAATAGCACGTGGGTGAGGTCCATGTTGTCTTTTCCACTACTGTTCATGGAAAGACAGGAGAAATGAAGTAGGATTGTTAGGAACTCAACCTAAAAGAACAACTTTATTCTTACAGTGTGCCGCAATCAAGCAGATCCCAGCAAATCATTCCCCATAGCTCAGCAATAATTACTCTTCCACCATTTTATGGGAAAACCAAATGACCAAGGATAATATTGAGGAATTTTTTGAAAGCACCATTTTATCACTAACACATATGTGTCTTTTTTTGTTGTTTGGAGTTTTTTTGTTTGGTTTTGTTTTGTTTTTGTCAGTCATGGGGCTTGAACTCTGGGCCCGGGCGCTGTCCCTCAGCTCTTCAGCTCAAGGCAAGCGCTCTAATACTTGAGCCATAACACCACTTCCCACATATGTGTCTTAGTACACTTAGTCACTGTGTATTATGTTTCTCATCTATAACTATTCTCACATACTTTCTCAGACTTAAAAACAACTTTTTTAAGACTGCAAAGAAGTCACGTTGTGTTAATATATTAAATTCTATTAAAAATATCCCTTTCATGTTTGAGCACTGGCTTCAACTGAATAGTTGTCCTCTTCTCTATCACTTCAACAAAACAACTTTTTATGTTTATATATTTTGGTTTCAGCAAGTGAACTATACTGAGGTGCCTTTTGCATGTAGGAAGTTTTCAGAGCTTGATGCCAGCAGCTCATCCAGATAATCCTAGGGTTTTAGGAGGCTGAGACCTAAAGGATCAGGCTGCGAAGCCAGTCCAGGTAGAAAAATCAGCAAAAATCTCCATTTCAGGTTGACCAGCAAAAAAGCTAGTTGGAGACATGGCACAAATGGTAGAGCACCAACCCTAAGCAAGAAAACCAAGCAAGAGTACAAAGCCCTGTGTTCAAGAAACAAAAAACAAAAAGCATTAAATATCAAAATGTATATGTCAACATCAAGAAATGTCCTTAGTTGAGGAAAATCAAAAGAAAAAGCTCTTTTAAGCCTCTGAACATTTGGCTAATTGGGAATAAGCCTCTCATTTCAATTCATTAAAATGCAGAATGACAATATCTACAAAAATGTAAATTATCACTTCCAAAAAGAGTTATTACAAGTGGTTTTGAGTATGTATTGTTGAAAAGATTTATTCCAGATATAAAGAAAAATGATATATAATTAACATGATAGCTCACACACACACACACACGGGCCTCAAACTCTGGAAATAATTAGCATATACACTAACAAATACACATAAGTGGTATCTTTTAAAGCATTTATAGCATTCTCCTTTTTTAAGAAGTGAAAGTAACCTCAACCTAATCTTCAACCACTGATTTTTCAAACTGAGGTTTTCTTATTCATGCACAATGAAAAGTTGACTCCTAAATATCTTTCTTCAGTGGTCTTAGCATTCACTCATTCATCAGGAAGTCTCAGTTGGTTAGGCCCACTGAACCCACATCCCATAGTACAAATATAAACCCAGAACAAAGACTTTTTTTTGGTTGGTCATGGGGCTTGAACTCTGGGCTTGGGCGCTGTCCCCCAGCTCTTCAGCTCAAGGCAAGCCCTCTACCGCTGGAGCCACAGTGCCACTTCTTTTTTTCTAGTGGTTTATGGGAGATAAGAGTCTCACGGACTTTCCCGCCCAGACTGGCTTTGAACTATGATCTTCAGATCTCAGCCTTCTGAGTAGCTAGGATTACAGGTGTCAGCCACTGGCACCCAGCTCAGACATTTCTATATTTGTGCAAGAGGACTTTGCATAGGTAGCCAATTTCAAGATGCCCAGTTTCCCCAATTCCCTGTCTGAGCTCTCTATATAATAACAATATTTTCATCTGCTCACTTTTTTCATGTAATCTAGTTATTCTAATTCTGTGCATCTATCCAAAAGAGAATGAAATCAGCATACCAAAGAGATTCCTGCTCATGTTTATTGCAGTATTATTCACACTAACAAAGCCAGGCAACCAACCAAGGTGTCCCTCCCAGATGACTGGATAAAGAAAGTGTGCTATATATACATATAGACAGTGACATAAAGAAGAATGAATGTCTGCTATTTGTATCAAATCAATGAAACAGATATATAGTAAGTGAAATAAGCCAGACACAAAAAGCAAGTACCAGAGGCTCTCTCACAAGTAAAAAGTTAAAATATAAGATGACCTGAAGTCAAAATAGCCATGACTTGGGATGGAGATGGGGAAAGTAGACAAAAAGAAGCTGATGTAATTGGTTCGTGCTATTGGTATATGTTGAAATATCACACTAAAAATCTATTAACTATAGATTAATGCAGTAATGCATGTAAAAGTCAGTTGAATATATCTATATCTATATCTATCTATTATATTAATATATTATATACATGAGCATGAAATAGCTTTATATCTCTCTACATCACTGTCTTCAGGCCTGTACATGCTTAAGCCTTTTTCTCAACATTATTTCTGCAAAGGAAGCACCTAATTCAGACCACCCCAAAGGACCACTTGCTAATTGAGTTGGTCTGACTTCAAGATTCTGATCTCTTTGACTCTATGATTCCCAGCTATATAGACACAGAGCCCGTAGGCCTCAGCTCTGCCGAGCACAGGTGCCTCCTCCTTTGTTTTCCTCCTTCCCAGAGACCTTGGTGCACAACCTCACTTGGCATAAAACAAGATGATTTAAGATACTACATAAGTTCAAAGTTTCCCAAACATAATTTGTTGAACATATTGCAACATATTCCTAATGTACTGAAGTGATTGACCTAATCCTTCACCTCTTTCACCCCTAAATCCCTGAACTTACAATACCTAAATCTGAACAAAACAGGGACAAAAAATCTGAAATTCAAACTCATTGTGCCAAGTGAGTGTTGTATATTTCTGCTGAGGAGAATCAACTCTGCATGACTCCAGAATGTCAACACCTCTAACAAAACCTAAGCTCAAAACAAAATGATTGGTTTTTATTAATAAGTTTTTTATTGTGAAAATACCGTACAGAGGGGTTACAATTACATGAGCAAGGTAATGAGTACATTTCTTATTGCCTCCTCCTTTGTTTCCCTTACATCGCTGCCCTCCAATACACCCCACCCCCACCCCCAGCAGCCAAAGTTGTAAAGTTCATTTTTCAACATAATGTCTTGTATATCTCATTGTTGCAATGGGTCTACCTGTATCCCTATTTAAACAATTTGTTTTTTCCCTTCCCCTCCACAAATTATACCAACAGCAAATACAGTGAAAGCAGGGGTTATACCGTGGGGGAAGGACATACAAAGCAAAAAAAAAAAAATCATCTTACAAATATGTTAGAAACAATAGCAAAAAAGAAAAACCATTTGAGTTTGGGGTTCCTTTTGCCTAACATCATCTTATCTGACCAATTGTGGGACATATCGTTCTTTATATTGGATTTGATTATACAAAACTAAAGGTAAAATGTTTTGTTCTTAAGCCTCTCAAGTACAGAGGGGGCCACTGAAGATCTTTTATGCTGAAATACAAAATACTGATTCTTGTCTTCTGCCAGACATTGCTTTCTACCTTCCAGGTGTAGCAAGCCTAACAGCAGTGACACTATTTGTCAACAGATTTCTATTCTATCAATAATTAAAATAATCTGGGCACAGTCTATGAATCTTGTACATCAGAGAAAATAAATAAGATTTAAAAATAAGGTAACTTTATAATTTCTTAAGTATACAAAATAGTTTATATTTACTAAATATACTAAATAGTTTAAATATACTAAATAGTTTTAAATTTTCTGGGAGCTTATAACTGAACAGACATGAGTCTTGACCACCATGACTAGAATGAAAGACAATGACCTGGGGGCTAGGGGCTCACAGCTATAATGCTAGCTACTCAGGAGGCTAGGATCTGAGGACTGAAGTTCAAAGTCATCCATGAAACTCTTATCACCAATTAACCACCAAAAGGCCAGAAGTTGAGCTATGGCTCAAGTGGTTAGAACACTATCCTTGAGCAAAATGAGCTCTAGGCCCTGAGACCAAGCCACAAGACAAGCACAAGACGATGGAACAGGCTGAGACTGAGTCCTGTATCAAAGCCAAGTCTCATCAACAGGTAACTCTCAGGGACCTGGAAGTCCCCATGGGAAGTTGACCTCAGCCTCCTCTGAATAACTGGAGGGAGTGATACTTTCTTATTCTTGAATCAGATTGACTGTAGAGTGGAATGTTTCTTTCAATTCTCTCAGGAAAAGGGAGACAGGCAGCACTGGCAACCACCTGTCTCCACAGTAGGATGTGTTTGCTCTACTTCTCTCAGAATTGCCTCCAGTCAGCAAGCAGTATCCTTATCTGATCTCATCATTATATTATCCTTACTGACTAAACAGGAAGGACAACCACACCTCCCAGAAATCAGAGGAAAACTCCAATAGTGTAGACTTCTATTCGGAATGAAGCCGCTGAGAGAATACACAATTTAAACAACCAAAAGAAGCAGTGACTCATCCCCATATCAGTTCTTGCCTGTAAGTCTAACTACTCAGGATGCTGAGATCTGAGGATGAAGATTTGAAGCCAGCAAAACAGAAAAGTTCCTGAGACTCCCATCTCTGAATTAACCAGAAAAAAAAAGTATGACTCAAATAGTCGAGAGCTTTCCTTGAGTAAAAAAGCCAAGTGAGCACATGAGGTCCTGAGTTCAAGTCCTAGTATGGACACACACACACACACACACACACACACACACACACACACAGAAAGAACCCAGAAAACATGGTTCCCTCAACACGGTATTGAAGATATGAATCAAGAGTACAGCCAGGCTCTGGTGGCTCTTACCTGTAATCCTAGCTCCTTGGGAGGTTGAGATCTAAAGATTGCAGTTCAAAGCCAGCTTGGGTAAGGAAAGTCTGTGAGACTCTTATCTCCCATAAGATTCTCAGAAAAAGCTGGAACTGGCACTGTGGCTCAAGTGGTAGTGTGCTAGTCTTGAGCACAAAGAGGCTCAGGAACAGTGCCTAGGCCCTGAGTTCAAGCTCTAGGACCAGCACAATAGAGTATTTATGTTCACTGTTTAGGTACAAATATCAGGTTGGGCTCTGGTGGCTTATACTTGTAATCCTATCTATCTAGGAGACTGAGATCTGAGGATTGTAGTTCAAAGCCAGATCAAACAGGAAAGCCCAGTGGACTCATCTCCAATTAACCACCAAAGTGCTGGAAGTGGAGCTGTGCCTTATGTGGTAGAGCCCTATATTTGAGCAAAAAAGCTCAAAGACATAGCTCAGGCCTTGAGTTCAATAACAGGACTGGTACTATACATACACACACACACACACACACACACACACATGTAAACACACACACACAAACACACACGTAAACACACACACACATATATATAATGTACATCATATATAATATGGTACTAAAGGAGAAATATATCAAGCAGAAAATAAAAAGAAGAAAAGTAACCTTTTTAGACAAGATCAAGCACATTCAGGGTAGTATGGACGTAGATAATAACCATTTTACTAAATGTAACTTAGAAAATAGATCTGAGCGATCCTAATATGAGATGTAGCTGGACCTTATAAAAAGAGATAAAGGAAATGTGGAAGTGAAGAAGTAATTAAGTCAGAGATAGAGTAAAATGTTCTTGAACTCAAAAGCAAAAAGAAAGAAAGAAGAATCTATAGGTTTATAGGTTTGCTGAAGGGGAAAAATAAGAAAGGGAAAATAAATTCTATACTCCAAGGATAGAGATCTTAACAATGTTCAAGACAGATAAAGTCAACCATAAAAAAGATGACCTGGTCCAAACTAAAGTGTGTGCTTAGAAGTTATAAAACTAATCCCCATTACAGAAATCCCCAGAGGTTAAAGCTTGCAAATATCTTCCTTCTGCAGAAAGAAAGAAAAAAAAAACTGTTATCCTTAGAAAATCTCACAGCACCTGCCAGGAAACGGAAACACTGGTTCGATTACCTTCATTATTCCTCCCACTTTAGGAAAGGCAAAATTATCTCTCAAGATTCAGTTCAGGCACCACAGCCTTTTAAATTATAGAAACCTGCTTTGCCTTCACCAAATGGCTCCCCTGCTGGGCTGGTGAAAACTGTTACTCAGTATCCACCTGTCCTCACAATGGTTGGAAAGTGTTCCCCAAAAGTTCTTGAACTGGAAATGTGGTCACCATTGTGGCAGGATCGGTTGAGGTAGTGGAAATTATAAGAAGAATAAGAGGTAATCAAAGCATGGGGCCCTACCTTCAGAAGAGATCAATATTGTTCTCCTGGGAAAGTGAGTTGTGGCAAAGAAACTACTGGTCAATCTGGCGAGAAGCCAGCAAAACCAAGGCAGAGGGGAGGAGTGATGAAGATTTCTCCTTCAGCTTCCTAACCGGATGGTTGTGAATCTACAACTTGGGAAACTCTGAGACACATTGGTCTGAATTAATTAGGCGGAAAAAAAAAATCTGGACTTTTCTGAATTTACTGCATGTGAATCCTAAACTACACAGGTGTTTATGGGCTCATTTATCTCATTCTGCACAAATGAGAACCATGCAGTTCCTTATGGACAGGGGAACACGATTGTGAACCATTGTGTTTGGGATAAACAGTGCAGGGTTTTGTGAATGTATAAATTCCTGGAATTTCTTGATGATACCTAGCCTTTCTACTTCCTATGAAGGACTTGGGCTCATCTCTGTAGGAGGACTCCTGTTCTCTCTCAGCATACTTGGTAGCCATGTGCAGGTTTCAGAGACAAACCTGCCCCTGACAGCTTAAACATCTGTGTGGGACAGCCCTAAAACTCCAAGGGCCTCTCAAAGGTCGTCCCTGTAAACTCTGACCTCAGACATAATAGAAAGTATCTCACAGGGAAACTTTTTTTTTTAATTTTCTGAATGTTAAAACATTGTACAAGGTGTCACCATTTAATATGACTGTAAGGGTCCAGGGCATCTTGATCAGATTCATCCCTTCCATCATTCCTTTCATCTGTTCTTCCATCCCATCTGTTCCATCATTTCTTCCATTTTACCTCCCCAGCCCCCGACTAATTTGACATTTCCCACTTCTGTATCACAAATGGTATCACATACATTGAGTATTCTAGCTATATTTCTCTATTTCCTTTTTCATTCATCCACACCACTCGTGCTAGATTTCCCTTACAATCATGTTTCAGCTTCCTCATATTCATTTTGTTAAACTGCTAATTGCCCAAAAGGCTTTCTACTTAAGTTTCACTCCTGTTTATACTAGGCATTAGTCAGCTAAATCGGGTATATAAGCATATGCCTCTATGTGTGTTTACAAGGGAGGTTGTATCTGGGATCTAAGATCAACATATGAGAGAAATCATGTGCCCCTTGTCTTTCTGGCCTGGCTTACTTCACGCTGTAGGATATTCTCCATGTTTTGTGTTTTGCAATATTTGAATAGTCTCTGTAAGGATAAGGTAGAATTAATTACTAATTCACAGCAGAAGTTCATAGTTTTACTAAGTATTCTGACTTTAGTGAATAAATATTTTGTTTCGTATGTCATATAGTTTTTGCATATGTAATATTTCTAAAACATCAGCCTCAGACTTGATGTTGAAAGGGGTGACATTAATCAAGATGCACTGTATTCATAAAGTGCTTCAGTGAATGGCAAAACAGCTTAAAGATAGTAAAAATACTCAAAAACAGAAGTTGATTTCTTTTGTAAATAGTGACAGCTTTTTAATACAATTTTGCATTTGCTATCAAATAATGATAATAATGAGAAAGAAAGCAAGATAGAAAGGAAGGAAGCACGGAAGCAAGATAGGAAGGAAGGAAGAAAGGAAGGAAGGAAGGAAGGAAGGAAGGAAGGAAGAAAGGAAGGAAGGAAGGAAGGAAGGAAGGAAGGAAGGAAGGAGAAGGGAAGAAAGAAAGAAGAGAAAGTACATATATTTGAAGATTCTGAAGTGCTAAGGACCAAACCCAGGGCTATGGACATGCTTGACAAGTACTCTTACCACTGACCTATATCTCCAGCTCTTTATATTAAGAAAACTTAATTTGAAATTCTTTTAAAAATGATAAATCTATTGCTATTTGTCTCTGGGCAACAAAAATTAATAGTATCTAAAGATCAGAGCAATAAAAAAAGTGTCTTACCTGAAAAAATAGGTTTCTGCACTTTCATAATGGCCAGGTGTCAGTTTGAGGGGAGGGTAGGTGGTGGCCAAAGGCTGTACCATAAACATGCTCATGGCCAAGGCCACAAAGAGAACAGGCAGCAGCAGGTTGGAGATGGTGCTTTTCCAGGCCCGCAGAGTGTGGCATAACCTCTTCCTCAGGAGGGCAGTCACCTGTGCCAGAAGCAGCTGGTGGCCCTGCATGGGCACAGATAAGGTCTTCTCTGGTGGATTCCATGCAGGAGAGTCACCTGCAGGGGTGGGAAGGTCAGCAGAGTCAGATATGAATAAATCAGGCTCCCAACACCTACTCGGTCTTAAGGAATCTCTTCATGTAGCTATAGGTGACACTAGAGTGTCCTTCAGCCATAGGAAGATAACCTGTGCAGCCTCCCCACAGCAAATAAGAGCCAGATTCCATATCCAAAGGACCACATCTGGGCTCTGTGCATCCCCATTCTATAGGGAGGGGAAAGATGGACCTTGTGTCTCACAGCATTAAATACAGAACCAGCCACCACTGTGAGTTGATCATGCTCTTTTATTTTAAAATATATGACTTCTATTTATCTTTTAGTTTTATTTATTTTTCCCAACCTTACTATTTACCTTTATTAGTTTGAAATAAAGCCTGATGCATAGGCAGATTCTGGCCATCAAAGATTTAAAATGAGTTGGACACCAGTGGCACACACCTGTAATCCTAGCTACTCAAGAAACGGTGATCTGAAGATCACTGTTTAAAGCCAGTTGGAGCAGGAAAGCATGTAAGACTTATTGCCAATTAGTCATCAGAAGAAACAAAAAGATAAAACAGAAGTCAAGTTGCAATGCTAGTGCACTGAGCATTAACCTTGAGCAAATAAAGTACAGGGACAGAGCCCAAGCCCTGAGTTCAAGCCTCAGGACTGGAATTAAAAAAAAAAAAAAAAAAAAGAGCAGAAGATTCTGTGAGTCTTAACCACAAGATCAGTTGACTGTGGCAACTGGGGAGGCGGATCCTGAAGAGTTTCTCTCCCTGCTTAGACCTTACATCTCTCTTCTGTATTTCTCTCAGTTCTAAATGATGAGTGCACGGAGTGGTTCTCAGGAAAACACTTCTGACAGCTACTTTCCCTCAGATCCACCTTCCTCAGCCCCTCCCACAACTCATACCCCCACCCCCCCTCTACCCCCCACCCACCGAGAGGAGCCAGTCAATCCTCAAAACCATGGCAGTCCTGAGTCCACTGGGCCTGTGCAATCAACCCTGTCCCTCCCTCCTTCTTGTTCTCTCTAAGCAGTTCTCAATGACTATAAAAGTCAACAACTCAAATTCAAAAGGAAAAAGTGACTGATACACCATTGATCTACTCACACACCCTCAAGAGCTCACTTCCAAAAGAAATCTCTACATGCCTGCCTAGAGGAAAAGTCAATGGCAAAAAGTGAGGCAGACCCAGAACAATGGCTTCAAACGGGAAGGCTGAGCCTGACCAGTCATCCACATGATAGCTCAAGTGGTCAAAGTATTTGCCAAACAAGTGCAAGATCCTGGGTTCAAGCCTCAGTACCATCGAGAAGAAACCAAAAGTCACTATGACATAGAATTATCCACATGAACAGTTTTTCCCCAGTGACCCCCTCTAAAATACTCCAGAAAATGCAATGCCAAGTATATTACACAGGAATCTTAATGGAAGAACAGCTGTACAAAAAAATTCAAAAATACTAAGGAAAATGCAGTTCTGCAGTAAACAGATCAGCAAAGCAGTTTTCTCTGTGTGTGTGTGTGTGTGTGTGTGTGTGTGTGTGTGTGTGTGTGCGTGCGCACGTGCGCGTCTGTGCACTCATGTGTCTGTTCTGGTACTCAAGGACTAGACACTCTTAGTTTTCTCATTCAAGGGTGGCAATCTACCACTTGATCCATAATTCCAGCTGCTTGGTGTTTGATGGCTAATTGGCAACAAGAATCTCATAGACTTTCCTGCCCAGGTTGGTTTCAAACCCATCCTCAGATCTTAGCCTCCTGAATAGCTAAGATTACAGCTGTGAGCACCTGGCCAATGCTGTTCTTTTTTCTCCCCTACCCTGGTCCTAGGGCTTAAATTCAGGGTCTGGGCACTGGCTCTGAGTTTTTTTGCCCAAGGCCAGTACTCTATCGCTTGAGCCATAGCTCACTTCAAAATTTTGAGCTTCACAGACTTTCCTGCCCGGCTGGCTTCAGACTGTGATTTTCAGCTATTGGCCCCTTGTCTAGCCAGGATTTACAGATGTGAGCCACCAGCACCCAGTTCATAGCTAAAATAGGCATGATAGGGTTCAGATTAGAGCTGTGGGAGCATATTTTCAGGTGAAAATGCCTCTCTGAACTTACTATTTCATTGGTCTAAAGTATTCACTGATGCTCCACATGTGAGGCAGGCATTGGGCTATTTGATTTCTGTCAAGAAAATATGTTTAACAGAGAGGGCTTGAGATAGAAATGTAAATAAATAACCCAACCAACACCACTGAATACAGTGTTGTAGTCAGGGAAAACCCTGAGTGTGCGAGGAGGAGCAAGCAGGAAGCGCTGAAGAAGTTCAGGACACGGCCTTAGGACCCAAGAGGCATTTTCAGGAAGACAAAGAAACATAAATTTAAATCCCCAAGCAAGAGACACACATAAGCATGGCACCTGCTGTGAAGACTAGTGATGAGAGTAGAATTTAGGACTTACTTGTGTTATAGCAGTAAGGGACGGGAGTGAATGATGGAGAGAAACCAAGGCATAAGAGCCCCCAGACAGCCCTCTGAACTAGACTGAAGACAAATTCACCAGGAACAACCTGATTAGACTTTCAAATGTATAAAACATTCACTGTATAGAAAGCAGTGCTCTGAGGATTGGTTTTATACCAAGCTACATATCAGACTCACCTGACATTATTAAAAGGGTTGATTTCCCAGCCCAGACGCCCGACAATGGACTAGTGGATGAAGAAAACGGTGTGTGTGTGTGTGGTATATATATATTTATATATATACTATACTATAGATTGTATAACTATATGATATATATGTATATAATATATATACTATATAGTATAGTATATTTACATATATATTCACATATATACATATTCATAGTATATAGAGAGAATGTATATGAGTGTATGTTAATGTAAATATGTATATGAATTTTCTTCATTCATCAGTAAAGGTAATTTTATATCATTTTCAGGGAAATGGATGGACTTGAAAAAAATTATGTTGAGTGATATAAGTTCAAAGAGACAATGGGTACATGTTATGTGGGAGTTAGATCTAAATTATAAACTTACATAAAACATATACACAGTCTTGTGCTTTATACTCATAAACTGACATTTTGAATTGAAACTCCTCTGTACAACTACTTAGAGATAATTTTTAATTAAATTAAAACAATTAAAATCAAATTTAAAAAGGACTGGTTTCCAAGCCTCATTGCACAAGCAAAAGAAAAATATGCATCTTTGCCAGTGGTTCACAACTATTATCTAAACTATTCAGGAGTGTAATTTGGGGATTGTGATTCAAAGTCAGGGCAGGCAGGAAAGACTGTGAGACTCTTCTCTCTAATTAATCAGCAAAAATAATCCAGAAATTGAGGTGTGGCTCAAATGGTAGAGTGGTCGCCTTGAGTAAAAAAGCTAAGGGATGACATGCAGGACCTGTTCAAGCCCCAGTACCAACACACACACACACACACACACACACACACACACACACACACACACACACACACACACTGCATTTATTATAACTTCCTTGGGGATTCTGATGTTCAGATGGGTTGTAGTGATAATCTGATGCATTATCCCTGACTTATATGCAGCTCCCATAATGCAGTATTAACTTAGTGTATAGCGATATTTTAGCACTAGGAAATGTATATAATTACATTAAATATGACCCTCTCATTTAGGTATGACCTTCTTGATCATTGTATTAAGATAGATTACTGCATAATACCAATTCATGCTTTTAGGTATGCAGCTCCACTAATATAATTATGGGCTGTATCTAACTCAAGATAAATGATTAGAAATGTGATCGGGTTCCCTTTTCATTGTATTTCTACAAGTAATTATTGATGCCTTCACTGGATCTTGCCCAAGGAGCTTTCTCCTGCAAATACAGGATCAGTCTCTGTATAGGTGAAGGGGCCATGCTGGCCCAGTTATTCTTGCCCTCACCTAGTCACTACCATCAAAAGTCACATCCCACATATACTAGCATTTACTCAGTACTTTTGACATCTACCACTGGCCATCCACACTTACATCCTGCCAAATTGCATGCCTCCTATGTATGTATGTTTATAGAGGGTTTTTTTATTGTGAAAATACCGTACAGAGGGGTTATAATTACACGGTCTCATATACGTATGTGACATGTGAAACTCATAAATTCCTGTTCACTAGCAGACAAGAGCATTCTGGATATCTACTTGGCAAATTGTCCCTGGTGATAGCAGCCAAGGTTGAGAATGATGGGCAAGCTGCCACTGGCCTGGTTCACTGGGAATCTGCCTATGCATCATGGTGGCATGGAAGAAATTCAGTCTACATATTCTGGAATATGAATCCAATCTTATCCACCAGCATACTGTGTGATTTTTAGAAAACTACTTAACCTTTCTTAATGTCCTTTAGTGGTAAAATAAGAATTTGTAGTATTTCTCTCTATATTATGATGGCTACTACTAGAACGTGTATTACACTGTCAAAATAGCTGTAACTTCCAATCATAGTATATGGTCACAGACCACCTCAGTAAGTCGGTGGGGAAAGGCATGACTCATATTACCAAGAATAACTTTTCTCTACCTTCACATAGCTGTTAATTGGACATCATGAGAAAAATGAAACGATAAAATAGCTTATGGTTATGAATCAACCACCAGCTAAATATTCATGGATAAACTTATAAAAGTATTCACATGAATAATTTAACAGACAAAATTAAAGTGCTGGATGGAATTGTTACAAATTGTCATATTTGACGTATGAGTGCAATTATATTCAAGGGCTCTAGTTACTTCCACAATTATGCATCCCCATTTGGTTCAGACAGTCAAAGTGCTTAAAGAAAATGTCTATAGAAGTTTTTTGTCCTCCGTTTTTTGAGGGGCGGAGATCAGGTACAGTAGCTGCAATTGTCCAAACATTAATACCAGGTAAAGAGCTGTTTATTATATGAATGACTTAGCAAGTACCCTAGTATATGATACTCACTGAAATCT